TGAGAAGTTCTTTATTTTTATTTTTTTATGACCATAAAAGATTTTTTTGTATTTGTTTCACTGTCTTAGGGTACTTCATTTGTGTGTTGTGCATTGTTTAATCATTGCTTCATTTTTTATCTACTTATGCAAAGTATATCAGACAACTGCCTCCTAAAGGTGGTAGGTATTCATTATTAAAGCTTTTTTCTTCTTTTTTATGTTTTGATGTTAAAGCTCATTTCTTTGTTAAAGGGTATTTTTGTCTCGTAAGTGTGTATCTGAGAGTTGATTGTTCTTTGTGAAAGGGTTGTATTGTCCATGTGGCGTGTAATTGTTTTACGAATGGGGTAAAGTTAATATACCTCTGGATCACATGGCGAACTTAAAAGCTAATTGGCTTTCAAATTAATTTCATTTGTCAGCCTGAGAGAAAGAGAAGGTAGAAGTGCTATAGGTGGGCATAACGCGGTTTTCGATCTTCTATAGTAATATAGAATTATTCCAAATTATTGATTATTTAGTTTCTGCAATGTCATGGTGACAACACATGGTCAAGAGCTGCTAAAATTATTTTGTTTTAGAAGCTTCACAATTTTTTCTCTAGTAGGTAACGTCTTTTCTGCCGATGGAAATATTCCTATAATGTACGTAAAATATTGGTTGAACAGATTTGCTAGCAGATTGTGATGTTCACTGAAGCTGACAACTGACCAATGTTGTCAAGGGACAGAAATCACGCCATCAACTGGTCAAAGAAAGCAAGTTAACATTCTGGAAACAGAGGGACTTTCTTTGCTCAGTTCTACTTGATTTTCATCGTGACTAGCTTGGCAGAAACTCATCTTGAGGTACGAAAAGCTGGTGAGCTATTCAATGATCTAGTACAGACAATAACCCACTTGTTTACGCAGTTATGCACACTGTTTTTTATGTCGTGTCTAAGTACTGTTTTCACCATTATTTGAATTTTTCCAATCTCTTTATGTCTCATGCAACTTAAAATCCAGTCAATCATTCAACCCAAACACACACCCTTACTTCTTTATCATATTTACCTGAGAATACCATATTTTCGTAAAAGTACAAGTACGAATTAGACACATTTAAGGAAAAATTCGTTCCAATGAGAATATCAATAACTAGCTTAAATACTTGTTCATGAAGAAAAATATATTTGTTATGCATTGCTTTTAGTGAACATGTACTTAGAAATAACTATATTTATGCCTACAAATTGATCTATTAAATGATTGAAGACTAATCAAATCTTTTAAATCGATTTTAATATATAAAGTAGCACAGTCATATGTAAAAAAAGAAATGACTGATTCAATATATTTCAAAATAATTAACATTCCAAAACTGGCGTATTGGTTATGGAAACAATAATCTGAATCATTTTCTGACAATAATTTTATTTCATTAAATAAAGCATCTAGAATTTTGTTAAGTATGATAAAAATAGGTTTAGTAATGGCATTTATTGAGTTAGTAATAAATCTCAGTTTAATAGGAATTTTATGTAATTTCAGTAAGTTTAAATATGTAGAACCATTATATCTATATTCCATTTGTATTGTTTTTGTAGATTAGTAATAAAACTTTTATGTAATATATCTTTAGCAAATATTTTGGTTATATTAGTTTCCAGAATTAGAATTTATGCATAGAATTTGTTACATATAAATCCAAAATTACAATCTGCTTTACCAATTAGGAGAATGGCAAATTGTTTCTGAATCTCTCTAATTTTATTTTGAAAAGTACGGATTGTAATATCTATTTAAGTTTTAGACAAATTTAAAATATTCAACTGTTTTTTTACAGAATTAATTAATAAATTATGTCCATTCGCAAACGAATCAGGGAGGATGAAAATAATTTTTACTAATTTTATTAAAATAGTCATCAATGTTTTATTCTAAATATTTTAGTATTTAATTTTTTTTATTTTTTATAATTCTAAACTTATTGCCTTTTTAAAACTATTTTTAGTTCTTCACCTAATGGCTTATAAATTATATGTGATGATATTATTATAAAATAATAATTTAAGTTAGTAATTAATATTAATGCAGTACTTAAAACGAAGAGGTCTTATCAGTTCATTATATTTGAAATTAACTGTAGGTTGTAACGACTTAATAGAAAATACTTCAGCTTGTATATTTTTTGTAGATTACAGATGGTAAAAATAAATCCTCACATATACTTCATACTTTAAAACTATCACAATATGAAATTTTCTTTTTATCCATTATTTCAATACTGCTATAAAGTAGAAAGTGATCCCATTTGAATGTAAATTTAGTTATATCTAAAATAAGGTATTCATGTGAATATTTTTTTAAATAAAACGAAAAACAAACTTTGATAAATATTTACTTTTGTATAATTTAATTCGAATATCTTTTCTTATTATCTTTTTTAAATTTTCAGTGCTGACTAAAGTGTAGATACCATTTGCAATGAAAAACAGAAACAACTCCAGATGTTTTTTATTCTACCCAACGTTTCGGCTTACGCCTTTTTCAAGGGTCTGTGACATTCAATAACATTAAAACAGTCGTAAGCCAAAACGTCGGGTAGAATAAAAAGCATTTATTTGAAGTTGTTTGCCGTCTTAATTGCAAATGAATATCTTTTTTCGTAACAAAATTCAAAATATTAATATGTTTATCAAAACCAGAATCCGAATCCATACAAAATAGTTGAAATTAATCCATTCTAATTTATGCTTATCTCTATCTCTATTTCTATATATTTAATGTTAAAAATATCAATCTGATATAAACATCTAGTACAAGAAGTCTCACTTAAATATTCAGCAGATTTATTTTGAAAATCCTGATTTAATCCGTTTGGGTAGAAATATTTCCTTTAAAATAAAATAATATTCAAGCTCTATCAGAGAGTCAGCATTACAACCCCCTTTTCTAAAATAATAATTTTAACATTAAAAAAGGAATGAATGTTCAAATTATCTATTCCAATAAAATGCATAAAATATTGGAAGTTTTCTCATATATTGTAAACCACATATATCACAAGTTAATAAATAGATTACATTATTCATCTTACAAAACGGTGTATCTTTATATAAACGGTGATAATCCATTGAAACTGGACAAACTAGAGATCTTGAACTTTTTAAATGTGATGACGAGGAACTCACTTTTTAGGAAATATAAGTTTGGCGACGGCTTGAATAGGTAATGAAGAAAAGTGTATTATACTATACATATAAAACGTTTCGACAAGATTATGTCATCATCAAGTACATCATCTTGTACCAGGTGATGCCATAATCGTGTAGAAATGTTTTACATTTAAAATAAAGTTTTCTTGATTACCCATTGAAGCCGTTTCCAAATTTTTATCTTGAATTGTATATTTTTAATAAATGGATATGAAATATTTAAATCCCTAGTAAATGTTTAGCTAGACTAAAAACTTGTAGACAAATGAATGTCAGAGAAAGGAAAGAAGAGGGAGTGGTGATAAATCAGCACCTGACATCACTTTACATATGAATAAATAAAACAAGTCTAATACTATAAATTACATCAATTTTATATAGTGCATTATAATGCGTACAGTAAATTAAGTTCATACTACTTATATAATGATGTGTGCTTGGCTTTTTCATAACAATCTGGTAACATAACTGATAACATAACTGGCGCCAAGCCTGAGTTTTTGTGCATGTGTGATACACATTTAATCATTCCCTGCGAAAACGTCCTAGAGAAACAACTTCGAGGGAGACATCCAATTTCTTCCCCAGGAGTTATGCGTAATCCCACCCAAAGGCACAGATTTTAGATCATGAAATCGTGTTTCTGATTTCAATACTGCAAAGGACAGATCCACTAACTGCTAATGATTGTTTCGTATCTTTTTTTTTTTAATGTTTGTTTATTTGATAAAACGGCACTCTTTTTTTGGAATGGATGTGTATTTACGTTAGTCTGTTTATATCTTACAATACTTAGTTTGGCTGTTTTTAATTCACTACTTATTATAGACGATGAAAGTGCAGTATTTATTTTAAAATAAAAACAAAATTAACGTTTGAAATGCACACTATTTTTTTTTTATTTAGCCGACGGCCAACATTAAAAGACTACATGTTTCAGTGGCTACATGCTAACATTATCAGGAGTAAAAACTTCCATGACAAGAAGGTACTTTTATAAGGAAAAGGTTTATCTCATTGTAATCTATAAGGGTGGTACGAGTATTATACAAAAGAAGTCTATATTAAGACTATACTACTTTCCAAAACTGTGTATTATCACAAGCTAACCCTTCATCTCCATTTAACAAAGAATTACTTATTTTACAGTACAAAATTTGTATTGATTCTCTAATATTCAATTCACTTTGAGTATTATGTTCATTTAAAATTATTTTTATGCCAATTTATTGAATGACCTGTTTCGATAATGTGTTCAGCAAGAGGAGAAATTAAAATCTTATTTTTACGTACATAACCTATATGTTCATTAAGACGATATTTCAAATTATGTTTAGCTTGACCAATACAATTTTCTTAATGCACAGGTTTGAAAAGAAATATTGATTTCTTGTGTACAATATTCATACCACCCTCATAGATTACAATGAGTTAAACCTTTTCCTTGTAAAACTACCCGCTTCTCATGTCGGTTTTTACTTCTGATGATGATAGCGTAAAGCTATGGAAACATGTAGAGATTTTTAAACGTTGATTTTGTTTTTATTTTAAAATTTATTGCGCAAGTTGCCGTTATTGAATTGTTGCAGTATTTATTGTATAAGCTTACATATCTGTAAGTGTTTTTTACATTTTGGGAACATCTGTAATACTCATACTTTGAACGACTTAAGTGTCAACCCCAGGCAGTTGCAGGTTCTTAAATAACTCTCAACTGCCAATAGATTGTTTGTCTCTAACTGCAATTTAACATGTATGTAACTTACTGGATAGTTTAAGATTTGCTACGTTCCACTATAATTTTTTCAAGATTACTTACCAACGTGTCCGTATATTCTATTAGTTTGTCTTCGTCGACAGATTGAAATTTCTCTTTTTTGGCTTCTTTCAGCAAATCTTTTAAAAAAATTCTGCAATAATTGAGAATAATAACTACAATCTTTTATAGCTAGTTATGCATAAAAACTATCTACCGATAAACGTAAACTCAAAGTAAAAATATAAACAAATAAAACACTAATTAAATGTTTGGGCTCAACTTTATTCATTTATTCTTATGACACCTAGACCTCTAACTGGTTTACAATTAGCACTTAATTATAAAAGTAACATTATCCACTAAAGTTAAAATACAAAACAGAAAAAAAAAAAGTTTTATAATTTGATTACTCTGGTTCACAATCATCCATTTAGGACAGAGTGACTATTAACACACACGGGGAGAGCACGGCCAGTGGCTAGTGTGCCGGACTGTAGATCCAAAGTTCTGGGGTTCGTGCTCCGCACTTTGAGGCAGTGGAAGCGTTATAAGCGTTACGGTCAAATCCACTTTTCGATTAGAGTAATCTATGAATTGGTAGTGGGTGGTGTTGACTGCCTTCCCTCTAGTTTAACACTTCAAAATTAGGGACGGCTAGCGCAACTAGCCCTCGAAAAGCTTTGCGCAAAATTCAACAAATTAATATATTATCACAGAAACTTCTCACTTTTGTTATTTAAAACTAATTGAAAATGACCTCTTTAATTCAATAACATGAAAATTACTCTTTATTCCTGCCGACAGAGTATTTCAGTACGACTCTAACGACCTTTTGTGTAATTTTTGGTAACAAACTAGGGTCCTCACGAGATGCGAAAATCCAGAAATATTGGAATATAACACAGGGATCTGTAGGACTTTGTCTGAGGAGTCTTTTGCTGTGGCTTTTTCTATGGATGTAAAGGGCGTAATTGTTTTCAATCTCCCCAAAGTTAACTAATCTCATCGCTCCAGTCATGACTGTGCACGTCTTCCTACAATGCTGTGAACATACCCGCTCCGTAAGTAGACGTGCTACCTTTCGGCCGTTTGGCATTTTTATCAGTACCAGTGGAAATTCTTCTCTGATCTCTTTCTCTAGAACTTCTATCCCACCATGATCGAACCTATATATGCTTCATTTGTAGCACATCGGGCAGTTTTTTACCTTAAACTTTCAAGTAAACTTAGAATCTATGCTTTTGACATTTGCAATCTTGATAGATAATCTGTTCTTGTCTTAAGAATTCCCGGTGAATAATGGATTCGCAATAATCGCTATAAATATTACATTACAATAACACCATGACTTCAGGTAAAGTTTAGTAACAAATTTCCCCATCTACCAAAAAATAAAATTATTGTATCTTCTTTAGTTAGTTTTTTTTTTTTTTTTGTCATTCGAGGTTGACGATCACCATTGGATTCATTATACGATTGTACATATTCCATAAAATTTGTAACAGAGTTGAGGAAACACCGTATGTGCTCTGATTGACTCAGATCTTCGTTGTTACTGTAATCATGTGATGTAACATTTTACTTGGACAAGCCTCCACTAAGACTATATATACAGGATTACGACTGAACATCTCTATCATGTCAAAAACTATAGTTGTTTTCGTAGCTCAGGTATTAAATTGCATTTTTTTAGGAGAGATAGTAAATATGTCTAGGAAAGTGTATGTAAAACTGACTTATTTACATCGCAATTACAAATACTATAACCTCCAAGTACTAATAATGTTGTTTCAGGATCTGAAAAGGCAGCGTCCATTCAACCAGTTATTAATGTCAAACTAAGGTAATATATTCTATTGTGTATTAGGTAGGATATTCACTTGAATTGTAATTTTCCCCTTATGATACAAATTGATTCTATAGAATTGCGATATATAACAAATCTTTTGATACGATTATTCTTAACCTCGTATTTTGAAGAAATGATGAAAATAATGTTTGTAATTGTGAATTTTCTCGTTATTGTAGGAATTAATTTAGAAAAAAAATCCATTTAAAAGTGACGTTACACTTATTATACAAGTCTGACTCATCTATTACTTTGAAGAATTAATTTTATACGTGTTATCTCACATTCTTATGGACTGTATCAGCGTCTTATTAAGTCTTTTTGTGGTTCGCTCCGCACTTTCAGGCCGTGGAATCGTTATAAAAGTGATGGTCAAATCCCGCTATTCGATTAGAGTAGCCCAAAAGTTGGTAGTTGGTTGACTATCTTCCTTCTAGTCTATCAATTCAAAATTAATGACGACTAATGCAAATGTGTATGTTTGCGCGAACATCCGAAAAAATAAAGAGTTTTTTTCTTTTTTCTAAACTAACGATAAACTTACCTAAGTTTTCATTGTTCTTTATTTTAGAATGAAAAAGTAAACCAAACGGGGTAACTGAATAAATGATAGAAATTCTCTCTGTGTAATATTTTGACACTAATTACTGAAACTTACTTTCTTCTGTACTCAAAGACCAATCATTAAATTCTGCCGAATTTATCAATGACTCCTTATGTTTTCACCTGAAGGGTTCAAACTTTTGTAGCACAACTTCATCTGTCACAAACTGTCGCAATTTGAATGGAAGTATTATTTTTATGCGCACTTGAAGGTTAATTAAGGTGACGTGGGTTATCAACCTTATTTTCATTCATCGAAGTTCTCAAGCATCTGAGTTGTCTTTATATTATTTAGTATTGTTTCAATAACGACATTTTTTAATAAAGACAAATATTTAGTTGATAGATTCTATATCTTTTGGGGACCCTTGGCTCTTTCAACTAGGTCATGCTTTAAAAAATTTCAGTAAGCATTGGCAGTTTGGTTGCATGGAACAAATTGCATTGATAATTTTTTTACCTGCAAATATAAATTCCACCACGATAACAAATGGACAGTTGTACACGTTCAAACAGTATATTTACTCGGCGTGTCTGCGGACTTAAAACGTTTGAAACCAGGTTTCGATTCCCATAGTGGGCAGAGTACATATAGCCCATTGTGTAGCCTTGTGTTTAATTAAAAAGAAATAAACAAAAGTATATTTATTTATGTTTCCAAAAGATGCATGTCAGATTGAAGTATTTCCGCGTCCATTTGTGTCGCAAGAACTTGGTCTTCAGCACAATCCTATTATTACATTATTATTTTATATTTGTGCCCCCCAGTGGCACAGCGGTATGTCTTCGGACTTATAACGCTAGAATCCGGGTTTCTATTCCCGTGGTTGGCAGAGCACAGATAGCCCATTGTGTAGCTTTGTGCTTAATTACAAACAACAACAATTTTATATTTGTAAATGATCGATTATCAGAAGTTTTCGGTTTACTTGTAAAGTATCGGTGAGTATTAGATTATATTTGTAAAGAAGTATCTTGTTTCTGCTATATAAGCATTTCAATTGTATCGTAATGAAAGCCGCTCCATTCTCTCTTAAACACAAGTCCCTTTGTGCTGATCTCTAATATAAAGATTGTTTGCATTCGCGTTGTAGAAAAATTAATTAGGACTTGGGCAAATAAATTAATTTCTGTTTATGATAAGAAATATTTTAAGACAATCTCGAATTTTAAACTACCTCGAGATGTAAACAACATAAAGGAAATCTATAACTAAAATTGACCATAGTAGACAGGATATTTATGAAACGTTTTGACGTGTAAGAAATTCTATTTATAAAAAAAGTCTGTTTGTAGGTCTGTGACATTTCCTGATTATCTTAAGGACATGCCAATCAGTGATTGCCTTACCGGCCTATGTTGATCTGACTCATTTTATAAGTTGTACTATTTCCTATTGATCATGATCCAGACGGTTCTGCTATGACTAGTATCTGGGAAAAAGCTTCAGCAGATATTTCCTTTGCAACATCTCAACCAACAATTGGTCCAG